TTAGGGTTTAGGGTTTAAGGCCTTATTAAGTAGAATCGGGTTTTGGGCTCGTTTGTAGTAGAGTTATAATATGTTATAATAAGGAAGCCTATGAGGCACAATATTGGTAGATATTTACTGTAGGCTTCCATATTAGGCGGTTACACCCCGAGCCTGTCCTTGGAGTTAAGTACCCTGTGGCGATGAAGGATTAGGGTNNGTTTAGGGTTTAGGGTTAGGATCATATCAAGTATACTCCTACCAGTACGACAAACACTGCACCATGCAACTCGAAAGCCCCCATTCCCCAAAACCCTACACTTCACCAAACTCTAAACCCTAAACCCTAACCTAAACCCAAAACCCAAAACCCCTACAGCTTAAACCTAAACCCTAAACCCTAAACCCCTACACCTTAAACCCTAAACCCCAAAACTCAGCTTCGTCGGAGCGCAGGGGGATTGTGGCCGTCGGTCGCAGTGCGGGGCTGTTGGGGATGTGGTGCAGGGTACATGGCTTCCTCCGCCCAGCAGCCATAGAGCCTTGTTCGGGTCTTTTTTAGGGTTTAGGGGTTTAGGGTTGAGGGTTGAGGGGTTTAGGGTTCAGGGGTTTAGGGGTTTAGGGTTTAGGGGTTTAGTGTTTATAGGGTTTAGGATTTGAGAGCCTTTCAAACGCTTCTTTTGGTTTAGGTTTCGGGTTGCGGGTGTAGGGCTAAACCCTAAACCCTAGATCCAAAACCCTAAACCCTACAGTGTAGGGGTTGAAGCCCTGAACCCCTAAACCTAAACCATCTTCGCGAGACTGGTCCGCACATCGGCTCAAAAACTCCAGCGGCGGTCCTGCAACCCTCGGTATGAAGCTTCGCTGTGCTTGTTTGGCCTTTGGGGCTTGAGTTTGCGGTTTAGGGTTTTGGGTCTTGAGAGAACGTTGAAGATCTGAACTGCAATGGAAGCACAAGCCACCCCGGACCCCCCAAACCCATCCCAACCCTAAAGATCTGCGGCTTCAGGCGCAGACTTGGGTAAAGATGCACAAAGGACTATGACGCTGGGGCAAAGGTGCGTCTGGTCATTCCCTAAGATAGGTGGCGTAATAATGAGAACAGGGTTTTGGGGGCCATTGTAGTATATTTATAAAAAGGAACCCTAAGGAATAATATTGGTAATTATTTAGGCTTCTCTATCACAGTTCTTGGCATTGCCTGCAAGTCGGCTTGTACGAGCAGAACAAGAAGCCTGAGAAAACCAAGAGACCCCTACATAGACCCTGGAGTTCGGAGATAGACCCTAAGTAGTAAGATCCTGATTACAGTACCACTAAATGGGATCCCAGTGTTCTGAAAGTAGTAAGATCCTGATTACAGTACCACTAAATGGGATCCCAGTGTTCTGAAAGTAGTAAGATCCTGATCAGTACCACTAAATGGGATCCCAGTGTTCTGAAACTCGAAGAAAACACGTCAAATTTCTAAATCCTCCAAGGGGCACACGGCCTGCCCTGCGGGCGAGTAGATGTGCCACGCATCCAGCTGCCGCGAGAGAAGTACCACGGTGGAGAACGGAAAGGTCAAGCAGCCCGGGAGTCCGTTGTCGAAGCCTGATCTGGCTTTTATGTGAGTCGACGAATACTGTAGGGGCCTTGATAATTAGAATAGGGTCTTGGGCCCCATTATACTGGAACTATAACAAGGAACCCCCCCAAAATAATAATTAGAAAAGGGCCCAAATTGTACTATAACTATAGCAAGGACCCCCCCAAAAAATAGTATAGGATATTCTTTAGGCCCCTATCATTAACAGCCTCGAGACGACACCTTGGCTCCTTCAAGTTCACCCCGCATCCTTTTGAAGAAAACTACAGGTGGGGAGTTTAGGGTTTAGGGTTTAGGGTTTAGGGTTTAGGATTAAAGGAAACTACAGCTGGGGAGTTTAGGGTATATCGGGCTTCTATAAGGCTTCTATGAAGGAACGTAGACCTTCTCTAAGGCTCCTATAACGGGAAACTACCCACTTGAAAAAATATCCTAGATCCTTTGTGCAACGCACAACTTGTGGACGGATGCCAGGTAAGAGAAGGTGAGGTTTCGAGTCCCGCGCTTCTGCAAGCAGCGTGTAGCATTTTACCTATAATCTCCATTGTAGTTCCTCTTTGGGGATACCTTATAAAATCGTGGATATATACATATATATATATAGATATATACATTTGGTTAAACCCAAACAAGGAACTACAATGGAGACTATAGGTAGGCCTGAGGATTCTGGGCTTCGGGTTCGGGGCCGTGAGGTTGAGGAATGGTGGGAATTGGCTTCATGACCCGCAGTGCCTAGGAACACAAGCCACGCCCAAATCCTCGCAGAATCCGGAGAGTCCTCACAGATCTCAACAGGGCCCCAGAGGACTTTGGGGTTTCGGAGTTACACCCTAAACCCTAAACCACTATTGACCCTCCACCCTGAACCCCTAAACCCAAAATCCTAAACCCCAAAAAACCCCAAAGCTTTGGGGCTTCGGGGTTAGACCCGAAACCCTAAACCCAAAGGGTTTCGGGGTTTCGGGGTTAAACCCTAAGCCCCTAAACCCCTAAACCTTTGGGGTTCCGGGGTTAAGAGACGAGGGCTTCGGATGCGGCGCCAGAACCCCAGATCCTCCAACTGAACTCAAGCCGCGGACCTCGAGTCTCGCACCACTAACCTCATAAGATTACAAAACTCTAAAACCACAACTTTCTAAAAGCATAAAAGTCGAACGACATAACAATCATAGGAGTATAAAGTCATGAAAGTATACAGTCATCAAACCATAAAGATATATAACCTCAATGCAGGAAGGCTCCATGTTTCCAGATATGGCCAGAACCACTATCGCAACCATCCCCTTAAGATCGGCCCTAAACCCTAAACCCTAAACCCTAATCCCTAAACCCTAAACCCTAAGATCGGCCGTAAGCCAGAAGACCTTGGTTCATTATAGAGTTTCAGCGCAAGCCTCCAAACCGTTCGCCCCAAAACCGCCAAAACCGCAAAAAACACAACATAACGTAGGGGCCTGAATAGTTAGAATAGGGTTTTGGGGTCCATTATAGTATATACTTATATAAAAGAACCCTATAAGGAATAATATTGGTATACTTCTTTAGGCTTCTATATTAACTTCTCTAAGGCTCTTATTGCTGTTATGGGCTTTCTAGGGGGAGGTTTGGGCTTCGGGGGCTAAGGTCTGGACTGTCACTATGGGGGTCCATGAGCCTTAGGGTTAAAGAAACATGAGCTTCACCGACGAGGGGCGGAGGAAGGACTCCACGATGCCTCCCAGGGAAAGCCGCAAGGACGCAATGAGGCGCACGCCCGCATCGAAACCTCGACGGCGGCTGGGGTTTGAGGGCTTTAGGGCTTTAGGGCTTTAGGGCTTTAGGGCTTTAGGTCTGTAGGGTTTCAGGGTTTAGGGTTTAGGGTTTAGGGTTTTAGGGCTTTAGGCGCTTTAGGCTTTAGGGTTTGAGGGCTTTAGAGCTTTTGGGTTTTAGGGTTTTAGGGCTTTAGGGCCATTTTAGGGCTTTAGGTCTTTAGGGTTTCAGGTTTTAGGGCTTTAGGCTTTTAGGGTTTAGGGTTTAGGGTTCTACTTACTATAGTTCTACGTCCAGGAGCTAGATTCAATACAGAATTATAGCTATGCAGCTTCAAGGTGTAAGGCTTAGCATGTAAAAGCAGATGCGTGCCCAAAGCCAAAAAGCAGAAACGAAAGTGCATGCCCGGACATTGGACTTTTGGCGTCTCTTTTCAAAAACAACCTCCACTCGCAGGATATATAATATTGAAAATTCGGTGGGTCTTTGATGCCTGTCTCGCTGATCGCTGCCGAGACGCAGAGTTGCGCGCATTGGACGCACGCATCTCCGTCCACAAACTCCGCGATCAAAACCTGCCGCGGCAGTAGAAACCCGCCCTAAACCCTAAACCCTAAACCCTAAACCCTAAACCCTAAACCCTAAACCCCCAGAAACCAGAAGCTCGAACAGGCTGAAAGCTGCAATCACAGAAGGCGAGTCCCACAGGCTAAAGGAAAGTACAGGTGGAGAGTTTAAGGCTCCTTTAAAGGGTTCCTTAAAGGGGTCTATAGGGTTCCTTAAAGGGATTTAGGGTTTAGGTTAAATTTTAAAGGAAACTGCAGGTGGAGAGTTCAGGGTATATAGGGCTTCTCTAAGGCTTCTATAAGGTATATAGACTTTCTATAAGGCTCCTACAGCGGTAACTACCCATCTGAAACTGTCATAGATAAACCCTACACCCCAAACCCTAAAACCCTAAACCCTGCAAACCCTAAACCCTGCCCTCCGTCCTAAACCCTATTGTTGATGGACAAAATCCTGCATGACCCAAATAGAGTATAGTACCATAAATCCCAT